GGCAGTGTAAAGCGCCCTAAATGCCTCCTTACTTAGGTTTCTGAATGATGTTCTAACTTTTGCCAGTGTAGAGTACGCTGCTGTCGTTATCCTATTAATATGTGCCTCAGGAGATAGATTAGGTGTTACGTCCACCCCCAGGTCTCTTTCACGCGTCGTTGTGTGTGTGTGTGTGTGTGTGTGTGTGTGTGTGTGTGTGTGTGTGTGTGTGTGTGTGTGTGTGTGGCCCATCCAACCAGGTCACCCCCAGGTCTCTTTCACGCGTCGTTGTGTGTGTGTGTGTGTGTGTGTGTGTGTGTGTGTGTGTGTGTGTGTGTGTGTGTGTGTGTGTGTGTGTGGTGTGGCCCATCCACCAATTCTTAATCCGTCAAAATCTCCGCCCAGGCCAAGACACACAACACATACACAAACCCACTGTCTAACTACCAGTGGGTTAGTGTCAATGGGTGTGTGTCTTGGCCTGGGCGGAGATTTTGACGGATTAAGAATTGTTGGATGGGCCACAAATATTGGCCGGGGAAGATCAATATTATGGGGATCTTGGGGAGTGGGGGGAGGAGGGGGAGCTGATTTCAAATGATGAACGTGACGGATCGATTGTGGAGTGAATTTTGTATTGGAGGGTGGGAGGAGGTGATGGGAGAGGGTGATGGGAGGGGGTGATGGGTGGGGGTGATGGGTGGGGGTGATGGGTGGAGTGTTGAGTGGGGAGAAAGCTTGAACAGTGGAGGGTGTGGAGAGAGTACGCCTTGGTGGGTGACAGTGGATGGCTGTGTTTTATGTGTATTAGCGTTCGAGAGCCTTATGGACAGTGCATTTGGATGTATATATATATAATATATATATATATATATATATATATATATATATATATATATATATATATATATATATATACCATTATGACAGTGATACAAACTAAAAACAAATGATTAATTACTATATCAAAACTACAGTAAAAAATGGACAAAAAAGTAATGTAGACGAAAATATTTAATTAAGTTATATTGCTTGGAAGTCGATAATTAATTTCGATGCAAGTGGTGTTTCACAATATACATATTTATTTAAGGTGTGTGTGTTAATTAGACAAGTTACACACGCAAGACTTCAGGGGCGCGTTGTGTTTACAATCCGCTCGTAAGACTATGCTCGTCCAAGCAGCGGCTGACCCCCCAAAGAATGCTTGTATTTCCTTACGTGGTTGAAGCATTTAGCGATTCGAGATGAGGACACTGTTCGACAAAGAATCGAACGTCATCAATTGTGAATCGTACGGCAAGTGTGTTCCAATCACAAACCAGCTTGTCCTCATGAGCAATGATCAAATGCTCGTTGATACAGAAAGCGAGCGGTGGCGGCCGTAGTGATGCAAGAGAGGACTCATGACCAGACAGTCCTGGTGGCGTCGCTGAGCGCGCAGGTAGGTAACCTGTCTTGGATACGTCTCCACACCAGTGTTAAAGTTACCTCCCTCCACATTATGTGGTTTGTCTTGGCTGATGGCTGTGTGTGGCATTGGTCATGGGTGTGGTAAGGGTATGAGGGGACTCGAACCCAAGTCCCAGATGGTGTTTATGATAAATTAGAAGCAAGAGTAATGGTACTTACTTATTAAGCTCATCGAGATTCATAATATGGTTGTTCTTATCAATGCTGTAGACGTGAACGTGGAGAGTGCTGGGCTCCAGAGCCCTGGTTGTCCAGTAGAGGCTCTGCACCCCGGCTCTGGCACTGGTGGTGGCTCCTTCCAGGATGGGGCTGACGTAGAGTTTAGAGACCTGCACGCCAGCTTGGTGTGAGATGTTGTTCAGGAACTGGTCCACTTGTGACACGTCCTCCTCCAGCACCAGGGTGAAGATGTTGTTCATGTCCAGCGGCAACACCTGTCATCAACACTCTTAACTCTGGGATTGTTTTAACACCTGATAAGAGACAAGCAATGTTAAATGCTCCATTTGTTTCCCTGCTTTCCCCTGATAATTCCCCATGTGTGTTGTAGCTCTCTCCACTGTTTATAATTGGAATCCTCAATGCCTTCATGTTCTCTACCTGTCCTACACAATTATTGCACCTGTAGGTACTAGTTGTGGATGGGATATGCAAAATGTAGACTGTTGTGCTCCATAAAAAGCTTCACTTTTGTGCCCCATAAAAAGCTTCACTTTTGTGCCCCATAAAAAGCTTCACTTTTGTGCCCCATAAAAAGCTTCACTTTTGTGCCCCATAAAAAGGTCCACTTTTGTGCCCCATAAAAGTCCACTTTTCTGCCCCATAAAAAGGTCCACTTTTGTGCCCCATAAAAGTCCACTTTTCTGCCCCATAAAAAGGTCCACTTTAGTACTATTAATTTTGTAGAGTGAACGAGAAAGAACAACGAAACCTAATTTGACATATTGTTGCGTGCGTTAGGCCTAAGGTTTCTCATTTAGGCCTAGGGCAGGCGAGGTTAGGCTGTTTCAGTTTTGATTAGTTGGTATATTTTGTGAAGAATTGGTTGAATTACCTGCCATTAGTAATAACACAACAGCCTAATTCTGGCATTAAATGTTTCTCCGTTTTAATACTGAGGTTAATGCTTACAGGTTCTTGGAGTATTTCTGTTAGATCAAATTTCTTGGATTAGTATAGTTATAAATCATCCCATTCACTCGAGCGTTCACAACGTCACTAAAGTGATGGTTTGTATTAGGTGCAAGTCTTGTATTAGATATACGTCTTGTAATAGTTGCAAGACTAGTATAGGTTAGGTGTTGCTGCAGAGGTTACTAGGCTTCTGGATTTCCAAAACCACTTGAAATTTGACAGTTGTCAAATACCATGATAAAGAGTTGACCAGACTGTGTTAGTCTGTACTATTACGTACACTTGGAGATGAGACGTCTCTTACAAGTTCATATACGCTATGTTAGCTCGGACGAAGGCAGTTCAAAGAAAGAAATTTGACTTCGTTAGAACAAAGACAATTCTGAAAACAAGCTCTAAAATTTTTATGTATAGATTTACAAGTAAATCAAATCACAAGGATTTGATTTACAAATCAAATCCTTATGATTTGTACAAATAATTGAAGTTGTGGAGTTCAGAGGTGGTTCGCCATAAAAAAAAAATAGTTTACAATGAGAGGAGTGAAGCTTATATTGGAAAATATGGCCATGGCTTAGCATGTGGAAAATATGGCCACTTAGCGTGTGCAAAATATGGCCACTTAGCATGTGGAAAATATGGCCACTTAGCATGTGGAAAATATGGCCGGGTCATGGCCACTTAGCGTGTGGAAAATATGGCAGGATCATGGCCACTTAGCGTGTGGAAAATTAATATTTTAGTAAAGTGGTCCGCCATAAAGTGTTGTTGTGTAGAGCTCCACGATGTCGGAAATATTAATGGAGATTACCGGGGCAGATGTGTTGGGGGGATGAAGTCAGGGAGGACGGTGTTGTTTCCGTCTCTGTCAACCTCAGGGCGTCCAGGGATGACAGGTGCTGTCACAGCTTCCTTTTATTAGACAGTTTTGATTATGGGGTGATATTCCAGTGATGGGGTGTGCGCGTGTGTGTATACGTGCTGTGTGAGTTGTTCTTGTTGGTGTTGCACACCTGTGGTGTTCTCTTTGCACTCGTCTTATAAGGTGTCCTTGTTTCTTTGTGTGCTACGCGAGGTGTCCTCATTGGGCGCAGATGAGAGCGACGACGTTTTGGTCCCGCCTGGACTGCCCATCGAGTCTAAACTACGATAGAAGATGGAGGATATTATTATAAATAGAAAGTGAACTCTGAAGGGAAATACCGGTGTACGAACTGACCGTTCTGGCTGTGTCAGTGTTTACCACTTTGTACTCTACTATCCTCTGTTCTGTACTCTACTATCCTCTGTTCTGTACTCTACTATCCTCTCTTCTCCAGCTCCCACTTCCTCATCGGCTGGTTCATCGTTTCTCTTATATATTCTCTTCTGTTTCAGGTCGCTGACCCATGTGCCATACGTTAAAATATACATATTTATGTACAGACGAGGAGTCGCAATAACGTGGCTGAAATATGTTGACCAAACCACACACTAGAAAGTGAAGGGACGACGACGTTTCGGTTCGTCCTGGACCATTCTCAAGTTCATAATCGAGTTGAGCATGGTCCAGGACGGACCGAAACGTCGTCGTCCCTTCACTTTCTAGTGTGTGTGATTTGGTCAACATATTTATGTATTTGTTTTTATGAATTTATACATTTACGCTTTATTTTGCATAGATTATATGGTATAATATCTTCTGACCGTATTGTGATTAGGATTAATTGATGTGGGAGATTGTCGTCAACTTGATAGTGACTGGGAGAAAATCAGTAGGAACTATAAGGATTCGAACCAGCATACTGGGTACTCCCAAACCACCCGCCCTAAATCACTAGGCTACAGCCACACGCCTCCTACTAATTTCCCCCATTGATATATTACGTTAATGTGATATCTTTGTGCATTTGACTGGGAGAGTTTTACCTTGATGCTGGCTTCTTGAAGTTGAGTCACTCCATCTGAGGCTGTGACGACGAGAGTGCACTCCGTGTTGCACAGGAACTCCTTCTCAACATAGACGGCTCCTGTGTCGTTTTCCACCCGAAAGGTTCCACTGGGATTACTGTTTGCCAGCCCGTAGGTCACGGTCCCCACCGTGTCCTCGTCCGTGGCCTGGTAGGACAAGGTTATAGCTTAGTAGCTATTACTCGGGATATGTGATAGAGGTAAATACTGGGATTATATGACAGTGACAAGTATTTGGATTGTGGGACAGTGGTAAGTACTGGGGTTATGGGAGAGTGGTAAGTACTGGGGTTATGGGAGAGTGGTAAGTACTGGGGTTATGGGAGAGTGGTTAGTACTGGGGTTATGGGAGAGTGGTAAGTACTGAGGTTATGGGAGAGTGGTAAGTACTGGGGTTATGGGACAGTGGTAAGTACTGGGGTTATGGGAGAGTGGTAAGTACTGAGGTTATAAAGCAGTGGTAAGTACTGGGGTTATAAAGCAGTGGCAAGTAGCTGTTCCACTATTCTTTAGGTTTAAAGTCCAAACAATCCCAACAATGAAGTCCATTTTTCATATATTTAAGTTAAATTTGAAGGTCTATGTAAGCCTTGTTTGAATATTCCAATCCATTCACTCACGAACAATTCAAGTTACCAGTCATAGCTAACAATCTTGGTAAGTAATTATTTCGTTATAAACTGCACCGTGCTGCTATAGTTGCTGTGCAGCAGATCAAATATCATTGCATAACTGTGCAGCCTAACGTTGCTGAGCAGTATATGGCAATGTTATCCTAATTTGATCATTGGTTCACAGGCACTGGTTTAAGGGGTCCTTGTGCTGGTTGGTTACTTGTTACTGACTGGTTCTTACGGCAAGAGTGATGACGGGGCCCACTACGCTCTGAAGGGCCTGATCCACCGGGTAGGCGACGGTGGCGTTTGGGGCTCCTGGCACCACGAACTGCGGTTGCATGTCGTTAGCGTCGTCCACTGTGATAACTACTTGACCCTGACTCCTGAAAGATATGTAAATTATATATATACGAATTTATGTATGTATAAGCCTATACTTGCATAAACCACAAGTGAAGATTAACAATCTTTGGGCAACACCCACCAGTGGGCCTCGAACCCAGAAAGCACAACTACCTTCCAGTAGCTGCCATAACTAGTACGCCTTAACCCACTACACCATCAGACCCTACAAAAGAAGTAGAGACTTCGAGATATATCTCGAGATATATCTCGAAGTCTCTACTTCTTTTGTAGGGTCTGATGGTGTAGTGGGTTAAGGCGTACTAGTTATGGCAGCTACTGGAAGGTAGTTGTGCTTTCTGGGTTCGAGGCCCACTGGTGGGTGTTGTCCTAAGATTGTTTATGTATGTATATGTATTTATATATGTACTAGAAGGGGATGTTAACCTGCCATTTGGGCGAGATGGTTGAGGCTGACAGTCCCTAAGTGGGTACGTCAAGGCATAGATGACATACGTCTCTTTCAAGATGTTTAGTTTAGTGTTAGAGAGTTCTTGAGTAAGTTGGCGGTTTTCTTACTCCTTTTTAGTAAATTGTGAACTGCGTGCTCTGATTAGTGTCAGTAGGGGTCACGTTTATGTTAATGTCTTTCAAGACTCTTTCTTTGTTTCGTGAGACGTTGAGAGAATTTTCTGTGGAAAATTTACCAGGTGGGACGGAATCTTAAGTGTGGGCATTGGGGGGTTCACCTTCCATTCAATTATCTGTTCAACCTATCCGTTATTATATCTATTGATGACAAGCGCCTGCCTTCCTCTACTGAATTCCTCGTCAACCTGCTTGAATTTAACTGGAGCTGTGTGAGAGAGCACAGTTAACATAGGCGGCGACAACACCTCGCTTATACCCTAGCAGCAGTATAAGCGTTATACTAGGTAACATATATATATGTTACCTAGCAGTAAAATAGGTACCTGGGTGTTAGTCAGCTGTCACGGGCTGCTTCCTGGGGTTGGAGGCCTGGTCGAGGACCGGGCCGCGGGGACACTAAAAGCCCCGGAATCATCTCAAGATAACCTTACCCTCGTCAGGACACTCACTTCTACCATTAAGGCGCATCTCTGTGTTGGTTCTCTTAGTATAGACTGTCCGGGAAAGCGATTCATTTGCGAAACTATTAACATCTAGCAATACCTTCACTCTCCATCTCTTAAAGTGAAATTAAGTTCGGAACTTGGCTGGAAGGCTTCCAAGCGTTCTGTGTCAGGTATCTGCAAGAATGTCATCTTATCTAATGTTAAAATCCAAACCTCACCTGAGTAAGTTGTCTCCATTGGAGTTACTGATCTCGCTGCAGTTGTTGATCTTCACATCATAAGCCTCAATTTTGAGTGTAATCTGATGTGTCTCTTCGAAGTCGAGGGCCGCGATCTTCTTCAGCACCCAGGTCCCGTTCTCCAGGTCCAGCTGGAATTTATCTGGTGAGGAGAGACTGTATGTTTCTCTTACATTAAGATATGTGCATGTGTGTGTTGTGTGTGTGTGTTAGGTAAGTACTATAGGTGACGTAGCTGACGATGTTTGACATGCCATCTTCAATCTGGTGCCCCTAGGAATCACATGAGACAAGCCATGACATTATAACAAGAGAAATGTTGAACAAGAACATATAATAAACCCAAGATTCAAGAAGATTACAAATTCTTGAGGCAATTCACATAAGAATAGAGCGACCTACCATGAACACCCAAATCACGGAACTATTTACTCTACCCACCATGAGAGTAAGGACAAGACAAGAACATATCGATGCCAACACAGAAGACAATGTCCAACATAACAGGCCAATTACACTGGATTAATCTTTGTGTTTAGATAGGAGATGCCTCGTATGGGCCAATAAGCCTTCTGCAGCCCCTATGTTTATCCCTTATGTATCCCCCCATGTTTTCACCTTCATTGTATTATCACCTGACCTAATGCGGGTATATAAATCAACTAGTATTGTAAGATCTGTTCACTTGAGAATGAACCATGGAGGTTCGAAACGTCGTGCAAATTATACAAATAAGTGTAATACACTCTATAGTAAATCACTTCTTTTCTTCACCTTAAAAGTACGAAAATGAGTTTTGGAGAACTCCTATTTCAATTAAGCCCTGATGCTAAGAAAATAGTTAGAGGGATAGAAGCCCTAAACCAAAAAATAATAAATACAGAATATGCGGTCATATTCAATGAAACATGTTTGAAAGAAAACCTGCTGCCAGTATACATATATATATATATATATATATATATATATATATATATATATATATATATATATATATATATATATATATATATATATATAATGCATATATATGCACGTGTATGCATGTATAGAATCAACACCATTACAAAAACTCTCAAATCATTCCTCGCTGAACCTACAAAAAGGCGTTTAGTTGACTTACGTGTAGATGAAGAGTCATAATAACGTAGCTGAAAAAAACTGTTGACAAAACCACACACTAGAAATTGAAGAAACGACGAGGTTTCGGTCCTTCCTGGACCATTCTCAAGTCGATTGTGGTGATGGTCGACTAGGTAATGGTCCAGAACGGACCGAAACGTCGTCGTATCTTCACCTGGTGTGTGGTCTGGTCAACAATTGCCTTACCTTTCTGTTGTTGAGGCTGGGCCTCTATAATACACATGGCCTCAGTATAGCCCTCGGTGTTGATAACAGCCACAATCTCCATCTGAGCGTTGTCCTCCCTCACGTGCGCCGTCACAAGACTGTTGGTTATAGTGGCGTTCTGGGCCGAGGTTGACACCACCTTGATCGTCACCTGCGGGGCCGCCAACACATACTATAATACCCTTGTTACACACCTTGTAAAAAAATCAATCAATTTTGCACTCTGAATATAAACAACGTAAACTTTATATATTTTAATACAAATTATTACTAGTGTTATTTGTATTATTATTTATGTAATAATTTGTGTTATTAGGTACGCCAATAAAGATTAGGGATCCTGGTAGAAGAGGTACCGTTAAGTAGGCCATTAACGGGAATACCATTAGGTATTCGGGCGCCTGACAGCTGAGTGGACAGCGCTTCGGATTCGTAGTCCTGAGGTTCCAGGTTCGATCCCCGGTGGAGGCGGAGACAAATGGGCAAAATGTTTGTTTCACCCTGATGCCCCTGTTACCTAGCAGTAAATAGGTACCTGGGAGTTAGACAGCTGCTACGGGCTGCTTCCTGGGAGTGGAGGCCTGGTCGAGGACCGACCAGGGACACTAAGTGTCCCTTAGTTCGGGACACTAAGCCCCGAAATCGTCTCAAGATAACCTCAAGATAACCATGTCACGTGACGTGTCCCCGGCGACAACCAGTTGCCATATAACACGTCACTTGTGCCACACACGGACACCATCCCACCAAGACCCCCAAGTTACTCTCCCAAGACGAAGGATGGATAGGCTGCCTATTCCAAAGCTTTTGATAACGTTCCTCATACCCGACTAGTGCACAAAATGAACAGACAAAGATAACAAAAGACACTGAATTGGGCAAGGGAGTACCTGACGAACAGGAAACAAAGTGTCATAGATATGAAGACTTTCACTATGGACGGGAGTTAAAAATGAGGCCCTCAGGGCTCGATCCTAGGACCAATAATCTTTCTAGTTTTTATAAATGACCTTCCATGTAAGTTCAACTTACAATGTAAGTTCAACTTACCATGTAAGTTCAACTTACCATGTAAGTTCAACTTACAATGTAAGTTCAACTTACAATGTAAGTTCAACTTACCATGTAAGTTCATGCTAGACAGTGTTTGTAGATGACGTAAAGCTCATCACGGGAATAAGAACTGAAGAGGACAGTTAAGCTGAAGGAAGACCTTGGCAAACATCAAGATTGGGAATATAAATGGCTAATAGAATCAAATTCTAACAAGTGCAAGGAAATGATGATAGGAAAGGGAGATAGAAGACCTGTAGGACACTAAACCATAAAGGAAGACCACTGCCAGAAATAATAGAGCAAGTTAAGAGTGGATATAATCCCGAGTCAAACACCACAAACTCAAGATAACGCCAGCACCGTATAGGAATTTACTAACAATAAGAACAGTGTAAGAAACTTGAGAAATTAGGAAAGTAGGAACTATACAGCATCGGCATGGAACCTGCACCGCGCGAAGTACACAAACATAAACTTATAAATAAATAAATAAATAAATAAATAAATAAATAAATAAATTAAATAAATAAATAAATAAATAAATAAATGTTTATTCAGGTAAGGTACATACATACAAGAGATTTTACAAAAATTGGTAGATTTATAGATAGAGCTAGTACATACAATGCCTAAAGCCAGTACATACAATGCCTAAAGCCAGTACATACAATGCCTAAAGCCTAAAGCTTCTTAAAGTATAGAGGTTTACAGGAAGACAAGCACCAGACTTGAGAGGACTTGCATATGAGGACATGTCAAGGGAAAGCAACCTCACAAGCTTGAGGGATAGAAGAAACAGAGTAGCCATGTTCACTATATACAAGGTAGTCAGGAGAATAGACTAGGTTAACAAGGACAGCCTATTTAAATTAAGAGGAGATAGAAAAATAGTACCAAGGTCACACACATTGTGCATAAACCGATCCCCATATTACAGCCCCCACCACCTTAAGACCCTATATTATAGACCCCACCACCTCAAGAGCCCATATTATAGACCCCACCACCTCAAGAGCCCATATTATAGACCCCACCACCTCAAGACCCCATATTATAGCCCCCCACCACCTTAAGACCCCGTATTATAGATCCCACCACCTCAAGACCCCGTATTATAGACCCCACCACCTCAAGACCCTATATTACAGCCCCACCACCTTAAGACCCTATATTACAGCCCCCACCACCTCAAGACCCTATATTACAGCCCCTACCACCTTAAGACCCTATATTACAGCCCCTACCACCTCAAGACCCTATATTACAGCCCCCACCACCTTAAGACCCTATATTACAGCCCCCACCACCTTAAGACCCTATATTACAGCCCCTACCACCTTAAGACCCTATGTTACAGCCCCCACCACCTTAAGACCCTATATTACAGCCCCCACCACCTTAAGACCCTATATTACAGCCCCCACCACCTTAAGACCCTATATTACAGCCCCCATCACCTTAAGACCCTATATTACAGCCCCCACCACCTTAAGACCCTATATTACAGCCCCTACCACCTTAAGACCCTATGTTACAGCCCCCACCACCTTAAGACCCCGTATTATAGACCCCACCACCTTAAGACCCTGTATTATAGACCCCACCACCTCACCTGAGCCCGATCCTTGAGTTGAGGTTCGCTGATGGAGGAAGCCACAGCGACAAGCTCATAGATCCTGGGTGGTGTGTAATCCTTTTTGGTGGTGATCCATCCGCTTGTTGGGTTTATGGCGAAGTAATCATCGTCTCCACTCTCTGGGGATCATGGAAAACATGTGGTGAATGTGTATGATACGTGTATTCACCTGTGCTTGCGGGGGTTGAGCTCTGCTCTTTTGGCCCGCCTCTCAACTGTTACTAATTAATTTTTTTTATTTTTTTCCCACAACACACACACAGGAAGCAGCTCCGTAACAGCTGTCTAACTTCCAGGTACCCATTTGGTGATAGGTAACAGGGCATCAGGGTAAAAGAAACTCTGCCCATTTGTCTCTGCCAAGTCAAGGAATCGAACCCGGATTACGAGTCCCGAGCGCTGTCCAATAAGCTACCAGAACCCTGTATGTGTGTGTGTGTGTGTGTTTAATTTATTCTTTATTTCACACCGATATTTCTATATGAATATAAATTACAAAGTATATTTTTTTAAGTTGATATATATAAAACAATATTACTGCATTGGAAAACAAGAAATGGTTAACCATACTCGGCTGACATTGGGCTGACAGTCAGCTGACATGAAGCGTCTTAATCAAGATGGTGTACCAGCTTCCCAAGCCAGCGTGGATACATAACAACAGTTTTAGAAACTTTTTTTGCTATAAGTTGAATATGACCCCTGGAAATTCAGCTTATGATCGCTGAGGACACCAAGGCATTTGCCATGCACTTGATCACAAAAACAAAATCTATATAAATGATTGTACATTTATAAAGAGGAAGGTTTATAACAGCATTATAATTATATTAATTACATGTCACAATAACCACATATGTAGCCTGTGCTGCTGTTATTGTGACACATATGTAATTAAGGTACTGTAATTTTGTGTCAACTTTCCAAATTGTAAATGTACAAATGTTCATGAATTGAACTTTTGTTTTGATTTGATTTGACGCGATTGTGTTGTTGTTTCAAATTTAGCTACTCAGACCGAAGTGTCCATGTAGCACGGGCTATAGTGAGCCCGTAACTCGTTTGTGACATGAGTAGTCTTATATACACACACTGGGTTGGGCGCTGATATCTCAATCACTTAATTCACCGACTGCAAAATTGTAATTAATTTTGTCAATAAAGATGTTAATAATAATAATTGTTTTATCCTGCATTTCAAATATGGCGAACGATTGAGAGACCTACCTTTTGAGGGCGTGTGCCCCGCGCAGCCAAGAACTTCAGTACAAAGGAATACTCCGAGGTACAAAGCACTTACACTTCAACGAAGTGCCTCCCGAGATATAAACAATTTCTGACAACTCACACGAAATCAAAAATACCTCACTTAAAAAGAGTATATAAACATGAAAACATTCCAAAGATTTTTTTTTTACCGAAACCATACGTGACCACATCATCCGTTATGTTGCTGACGGCCTTAACCTTCAAGACGATGTCGTTCACAGGCGGCTTGATAACTTCTGTAGCGTACCGGTACTGCTCGAAGTGCAAGGCGTTGTCTTTGGAACAGGACCAAGGGAGGCCTACGTCAAGAACGCCCAGGGAGGTGACGCCAGAGGTGTCTGCAGCCTAATGGAGATGGAAGCCACAAGATGGAGCAGCACCCCATTAGCACCAAATGGTTTTGACAGTAATCACAATATTTGTCTAAGCTTGCAAAATCCCTTTCCTACAATGTCACATTTGTGTAATTTGCAGTCCTCATCTCTGTTATCTGCAGCTCAGCCATTTTTGTGGTTTGTCTCATGGTTTGGTTGCTTCAGGTTTGGATGTTTCATGGTTGGTTTATTTCAAAGTTTGAGTGTTGTTTAAAGGTTTGGTTGACGTTTCAAGGTTTGGTGAAGATTTGATGCACGTCTACTGCACAGCCTGCAGAAGATGTGAGTGTATACGTATATGCCTGCAGAAGATGTGAGTGTATACGTATATGCCTGCAGAAGATGTGAGTGTATACGTATATGCCTGCAGAAGATGTGAGTGTATACGTATATGCCTGCAGAAGATGTGAGTGTATACGTATATGCCTGCAGAAGATGTGAGTGTATACGTATATGCCTGCAGAAGATGTGAGTGTATACGTATATGCCTGCAGAAGATGTGAGTGTATACGTATATTTTCTGAGGTGTATACTCTGAGGACTTACCTGTAGATGAACAGTGTTCATGACACAGCTGACGGCCGGGCAAGGTTCCAGTCGCTGTACTCAGATTGCTCACTACCAGAACATCGACTCACCTGCTTCGCAGTATTTTATCAACCAAAGACAGCGAACGACACAGTTATATCCCAACTAACACACACAATATGACCACAACCTTGTAACAACGATGTTAAAGCGTAAAACTTAAGTTGTAGATAGGTTGTGGGCATATTTTGTTGGGATATTTGGGAAAAATCCCATACCTTCTCCTCAATTCAATACACGAACAACAACAGACCAGTAGGACACACAACTAGAACAGGTTTCACACAGCACAGACAACAACTTGGACTTAAAATACAACACAAAAGCAAAATCGAACAAATGCAAGCAACAGAAATGGAAGAAAAACAACCTATTTTACCCCAAGAGAATTCGGTTCCGCCGCTCCCGTCCTCATATACGCTGACTTGAAAAACATTCTTGGATTCCGGAAAGGTTTCCCCGGAGTACGCATCTTTCGTGAACCTCGGCGCTTGTTGGCTGGAGTCCTCGGTCGTGGTAGTATAGGACGGGCAGGTGACTGGTGGACATGTGTTTAGAGTAGACGTCGTGGTCTCATCTGTGGGGCACAGTGGGCACGTTGTGGTACTTGCTTCAGTGGGGCATGGAGTAATTATTGCGTCTGTGGGGCACACTGGGCAGGTTGTGGCTGGTACTTCTGTGGGGCATGGAGTTATTATTGCTTCTGTGGGGCATACTGGGCACGTTGTGGTAGTTGCTTCAGTGGGGCACAGTGGGCATGTTGTGGCTGGTACTTCTGTGGGGCATGGAGTAATTATTGCGTCTGTGGGGCACACTGGGCACGTGGTGGCTGGTACTTCTGTGGGGCACAGTGGGCATGTTGTGGCTGGTACTTCTGTGGGGCATGGAGTAATTATTGCGTCTGTGGGGCACAAAGGGCAGGTTGTGGTAGTTGCTTCAGTGGGGCATGGAGTGGTTGTCTCATCTGTGGGGCATACAGTCAGGGGTTGTAGCAGTAGCAATAATGAAGGTATGTTTATGGGTTACATAAGTATTGCATCGATATTGACCACACTCATGAGCGGAACGAGGGTATGTGCGGATGGGGCTCGCCAGTTAAAGTTGTATACGGCCTATAAGCCATAATTGATGTATTTAGTGTAGACAAGAATATGCTGTGATAACAATGAGACTATTATGCATGTTGCACGTAATAATTAAAATATATTTCACAGAAGCCTTGAGAAATATATCTGACACCGCAGTTTTTTAACCCACGCTTCTTTGGCGACGTAGGTTATCGAATCTGACAGACAAGAGCCGCGTTGAACCTGGCCTGGATAAGAATACATTGAACAAAAGCCTTATTGTGATTGATTCATTGTCGGATAAATATTCCATAGACCGTTAACGCTTCTTTAAATGTGTGATGAGCTAAAGGTGTTCAGTAACTTTGGGGCCAGTAAGGAATGGCATTTGTGAAACATGAATGTAGTAGGTGTAGGGTGTAGTAAGTGTGTTGTGTGTTAGACCAGTAGTGTCACGAGAGAGTTCACGTGTACACAATGTATAGTGAGTGACACTTGTCCCTAGAGTGTGTACTGTGGACGGTTGGTGGTGTGACATGGTGGATAAATGGTAGAATAAGAGGGAGATACATATAGGGAAATGGTGGGTGGGGGGAGGTACTTATTCAAGGTGATTATGCCCTGGACAGGTCACGTCTGTGGTGGAGACACAGTGGACACTCACAGGGGTCACTGGTGGTGGGACAGGGGTTACACGTGCCTTGTGTGGTCATGGCCGGACAGGTGCACGCCGGACAGGTCACGTCTGTGGTGGAGACGGTGGTGGTGGACACTGGCGGCAGGTCAACCCTCAACGTAACGGAACTGGAGGTGCCGGATGTGTCTGTACCCTGGGAAGAGCCACGTCAGTCTGAGAGCGCAAACACTGCACGCTGTTCCTGTTATAACTCTTGACACAATGTGTATAACATACAGAGATTCAAGTAAAGAAGAGGTCAAGAAATGAAGTAAAAGGAGTTGAAGTTATGTTAAGAGGGTTGGATTAGAGAGATTGTGATGATTAGTCTATTATAGTTGTGTTGATTAAGTCAGAGTGGTTGAGATTAGGAAGCCAGTTTAAGGTATTTGAGATTAGGAAGCCAGTTTAAGGTATTTGAGATTAGGAAGCCAGTTTAAGGTATTTGAGATTAGGAAGCCAGTTTAAGGTATTTGAGATTAGGAAGCCAGTTTAAGGTATTTGAGATTAGCCAGTTTAAGCCAGTTTAAGGTATTTGAGATTAGGAAGCCAGTTTAAGGTATTTGAGATTAGGAAGCCAGTTTAAGGTATTTGAGATTAGGAAGCCAGTTTAAGGTATTTGAGATTAGGAAGCCAGTTTAAGGTATTTGAGATTAGGAAGCCAGTTTAAGGTATTTGAGATTAGGAAGCCAGTTTAAGGTATTTGAGATTAGGAAGCCAGTTTAAGGTATTTGAGATTAGGAAGCCAGTTTAAGGTATTTGAGATTAGGAAGCCAGTTTAAGGTATTTGAGATTAGGAAGCCAGTTTAGAGTGGTTGTGATGCTTAAATCAATTGTGACTGATAAAGGAAGGCAGTATTTTATAAGCCATTTAAGGTACACGATATGAAATTAACCATGAGAAACCAGCAGTAAATCTTGTGAAGACAGGAATTAGAAATATCATTAGAAATATTAGTTTTTATAACTTTTTTATTAATAAGTATTATTAATAATATGTTCATTAGATGACCTAGAGATCAACATTGATAACCACTAGTACCTAGGTTGAATTTACTGTTTGTCTCTAATGGTTACTTTTATATCATGTACTTTATGTGGCATGGTAAATACTGCTTATATAGAAAGAAAAATAATGACGTCACTTTCTGTTATTAAAACCAAAAATGACCTGATGGGAATAAAATAGGAATCCATTTCTGCTAAGACAAATTAGTTAGGTAATTTTATCGCACATTTAATATTTATTAGAAACCTAGATTTTTTTTTAAATGTGTATAAGAATAGGTTATGCAAAATAGTACGTGTATTATATTTGGTATAACAAAATTTTACGTCGTTTGCAAACCACAAACACAATAATTTTGTTTATTTGCCAAATAATATCAGTTCTCATGTAATGATTACTCATCGCTGATTAGGATAGCAAACGTGACATCTTTGTCTCTCGTGTGTTGGTCAGAGGAAGTCAGTAAGAAACTACATGAGGACCAAGATAGACTGAAAGAATGGTACAAGTGGCTATTAGACTTTAACTACTGCATGTGCAAAGTCGTAAAGCATTACGATAGGAGCAGAATGCTGGAAATATGTTACCAAATGTAATTAAAAATGTGTCATTGGACAGAGAAAAAAAATAGATTTTCTGAAGCCCACCTCAAACCGAATATCACCAGCAGTGTATGCAAGGTTGGCTAAAATATGAACTGCGTTTAGAAATTAGAACAGTCCTGAATACCTGCGGTGAGTCCTAATCTCCCCAATAAAAAGAAAACCCAGAGAAAAGTTATCAATAGAAAAAAAAGGAGATGAAAGATATTGATAATAATTTGTTTTAAAGTAATAAATCAACCATGCGGGTAATATCGTGGGAAAATATTCGATGGAAAAAATGAAGAGTGGAGGTGGTTGTGCCTTACAACCCCAAAAGAATCACAGAAGACTGAGGCTTGAATATGTAAGCCAGAACAAAGAATGCAGAAATATTCTCCAAGAAGGCGTCGGAGACAGTCCACAGACTCAAGAGACCACAGACTTAAGAGACCACAGACTCAAGAGACCACAGACTTAAGAAACCACAGACTTAAGAGACCACAGACTCAAGAGACCACAGACTTAAGAGACCACAGACTCAAGAGACCACAGACTTAAGAGACCACAGACTCAAGAGACCACAGACTCAAGAGACCACAGACTCAAGAGACCTCAAACTCAAGAGACCACAGACTCAAGAGACCACAGACTCTAGAGACCACAGACTCAAGAGCGCACAGACTCAAGAGACCACAGACTCTAGAGACCACAGACTCAAGAGACCACAGACTCAAGAGACCACAGACTCAAGAGCCCACAGACTCAAGAGACCACAGACTCAAGTGACCACAGACTCAAGAGACCACAGACTTAAGAGACCACAGACTTAAGAGACCACAGACTCAAGAGACCACAGACTCAAGAGACCACAGACTCAAGTGACCACAGACTTAAGAGACCACAGACTTAAGAGACCACAGACTTAAGAGACCACAGACTCAAGAGACCACAGACTCAAGAGACCACAGACTTAAGAGACCACAGACTCAAGAGACCACAGACTGAAGAGACCACAGACTGAAGAGACTACAGACTGAAGAGACCACAGACTCAAGAGACCACAGACTCAAGAGACCACAGACTTAAGAGACCACAGACTCAAGAGACCACAGACTGAAGAGACCACAGACTCAAGAGACCACAGACTCAAGAGACCACAGACTCAAGAGACCACAGACTCAAGAGACCTCAAACTCAAGAGACCACAGACTCAAGAGACCTCAAACTCAAGAGACCACAGACTTAAGAGACCACAGACTTAAGAGACCACAAACTCAAGAGACCACAGACTTAAGAGACCACAGACTTAAGAGACCACAGACTCAAGAGACCACAGATTGAAGAGACCACAGACTGAAGAGACTACAGACTGAAGAGACCACAGACTCAAGAGACCACAGACTCAAGAGACCACAGACTTAAGAGACCACAGACTCAAGAGACCACAGACTTAAGAAACCACAGACTTAAGAGACCACAGACTCAAGAGACCTCAAACTCAAGAGACCACAGACTCAAGAGACCTCAAACTCAAGAGACCACAGACTCAAGAGACCTCAAACTCAAGAGACCACAGACTTAAGAGACCACAAACTCAAGCGACCACAGACTCAAGAGACCACAAACTCAAGAGACCACAGACTTAAGAGACCACAGACTTAAGAGACCACAGACTCAAGAGACCACAGACTTAAGAGACCACAGACTCAAGAGACCACAGACTCAAGAGACCACAGACTTAAGAGACCACAGACTTAAGAGACCACAGACTCAGGAGACCACAAACTCAAGAGACCACAGACTCAAGAGACCACAAACTCAAGAGACCACAGACTTAAGAGACCACAGACTTAAGAGACCACAGACTCAAGAGACCACTTGCTGGTAAAGGGCAACTTGAATCATGGACTACTGGACCGAGATTTAGAAAATCTATTTTTATATTTTTATGAATTTAGCCAAGATGAGACGTGGAGAGAGAAGCTGAAAGAAGTAGCATTCAGGAATTTCTTACTACATCATGACAGGAGAAGATGATCAACCAGCAAAATGTGTTATTACAAAATATGTAAATTGCGTTTTCACTGCTAAAAATCTTTTGTTTAATCACTCATAACTAGAAGATTAGCGAATCAACATAGCGAGTAGACGCTTAATCTAAATTAAAGCATATCAATCATTAAAAAAATCTAAATCATAAAAAAAGAATACATCATTAAATGCAACTAAAGCAAACATTATTCAATGCAAATAAAGCAAACATCATTCAATGCAAATAAAGCAAACATCATTCAATGCAAATAAAGCATACATCATTAAATGCAAATAAAGCATAGTACCCAGCACAAACAACAAGTACTACACAGTGGAACACCATGATACACCCACATCTTACCCAGTGTGGTCAGGCACTGTTATCACCAGTGGGTCAGGCACTGTTATCACCAGTGGGTCAGGCACTGTTATCACCAGTGGGTCAGGCACTGTTATCACCAGTGGGTCAGGCACTGTTATCACCAGTGGGTCAGGCACTGTTATCACCAGTGGGTCAGGCACTGTTATCACCAGTGGGTCAGGCACTGTTATCACCAGTGGGTCAGGCAGTGTTATCACCAGTGGGTCAGGCACTGTTATCACCAGTGGGTCAGGCACTGTTATCACCAGTGGGTCAGGCAGTGTCATCACCAGTGGGTCAGGCAGTGTCATCACCAGTGGGTCAGACAGTGTCATCACCAGTGGGTCAGGCAGTGTCATCACCAGTGGGTCAGGCACTGTTATCACCAGTGTGGTCAGGCACTGTTATCACCAGTGGGTCAGGCAGTGTCATCACCAGTGGGTCAGGCAGTGTCATCACCAGTGGGTCAGGCACTGTTATCACCAGTGGGTCAGGCAGTGTCATCACCAGTGGGTCAGGCAGTGTCATCACCAGTGGGTCAGGCACTGTTATCACCAGTGGGTCAGGCACTGTTATCACCAGTGGGTCAGGCAGTGTCATCACCAGTGGGTCATTCACTACACTTAGACACTTAGAGCTCCCAAAACTTACCCTGCTTCACTCCTCACCTCATCTCCTTGACTACAGTTGTATTATAGATATTACATGCTACGTTGTTTCCTATATAAGGCTTTTTTTAAATTGTGTTTCACAATAGCAGAGACAGTAGGATTTAATTATAATTAAATATGTATGTAATTACTACAGGTCAGACTTTTATATATAAATACAAGAATTTCAATTGATAGATATATCAAGTATTGGTCTCTTATTAAATGACCTGATGAAACATTACATGGAGCTAAAATAAGAAAAGATTCAAGAATTAACTAACTTACGTCTTACACTCGACACTTGATATAGTTATCAGGTCCAATTCAGGTGTGTGTGTGTGTGTGTGTGTGTGTGTGTGTGTGTGTGTGTGTGTGTGTGTGTGTGTGTGTGTGTGTGTGTGTGTGTGTGTGTACTCACCTAGTTGTACTCACCTAGTTGTGTTTGCGGGGGTTGAGCTCTGGCTCTTTGGTCCCGCCTCTCAACCGTCAATCAACAGGTGTACAGGTTCCTGAGCCTACTGGGCTCTATCATATCTACACTTGAAACTGTGTATGGAGTCAGCCTCCACCACATCACTTCCTAATGCATTCCAAAATGCATGTGTGTGTGTGTGTGTGTGTGTGTGTGTGTGTGTGTGTGTGTGTGTGTGTGTGTGTGTGTGTGTGTGTGTGTGTGTGTGTGTGTTAATCATTGAAGGAGCATGTAAAGAGTGTGTATTAAGAGTTTAATGTAACTATTTTGTCTGTATGTGATCAATTTATATGGTGATCTGACTTAAGGGAATAATATGTCAATTACATAAAAAAGCTGAAAGTTGGATATTTATCTACCTGAAACTAGTCTCCTTCAAAACATCATTATCAATAGTTTAGTATAGTAAATCAAATACATGTTACTTTAAATGTGTACACAGGTATGGAAGCGCACACACGTGCACCAGTATCACAGCAGAAATAATTTGATAGTTACATACATAAGAAATAAGTTATGATCATCAGATATATATTGATAGGAAAAATTCAAAATAGTTAATGTCCGATTCTGGGAAATAATTTTTTATATTAGCAGAACTTAGAGGAGTAAGGCTGTATATACACCAAAAGTATATATATATATATATATATATATATATATATATATATATATATATATATATATATATATAAATATTCAGTTGCATATTGTCCTGGGGACCATTCAGGCTTGTTCGCATATATATATATATATATATATATATATATATATATATATATATATATATATATATATATATATATATATATATATATATATATATATATATATACTTTATATACATCCCTCTTCTCAGTGTATATATATACCGAGTTTCCTCTAATACTGAACAACGTCCTGAGCTAAATGTATGCGTACTGATTGGTCAGTAAGCGCTTGTGTGTGGCCGTAATGACCCATACTAAAAAGATGCAATGTGTATGAATAGATTTAAAGCGATATGTGATATGCTTTAGGTTGTTATATTTCAGACTCTTCAATCGGACATTAACATGTGAACTTTCAACAACCATCTTCTTTAGGTTATCTTGAGATGATTTTCGGGGCTTAGCGTCCCCGCGGCCCGGTCCTCGACAAGCCCTCCACCCCCAGGAAGCAGTCCCTAGCAGCTGTCTAACTCCCAGGTACATATTTATTGCTAGGTAACAGGAGCATTAGGGTGAAAGAAACTCTGCCCATTGTTTCTCGCCGGCGCCCGGGATCGAACCCGGGACCACAGGATCACGCGTCCAGTGTTCTGTCCGCTCAGCCACTGGCTCCATCCGGATATCATCATACAAACCATCCGGATATATCATACAAACAACCACCTACTTTAACCGAGCACTATCATGAGAACTTCCAACTACCGGCTTTAACCGGACATGATCACATGAACGTACAAAAACTTGAGTTAACCGAACACAGAAGGTTGACCCTACTGCAATAACCTTCTTTAAACCGTACAGAAGCGTACAAACCAGCAGCGTAGGTTTGTACGCTTCAGGTTTGTACGATAACATAGTGTTATCAATGCTCATTAACCCTGTAGAGAGCACATTTTCAGTTTATCAGAAAATGTACATTAGAATCCCAAGTGTACAAATACAGGTTTCATAATGAGGATTCCACAACCAATGAAGGGGATTATAGAGTATTAACTCATTTCTAATTCAACCTATCATCTCTAGCGTTCACAACGTCACTATATTGATGTACTAGATTACCCGAACCTAACCTAACCGAGGACCCACGATTTGAAAACGGGACATCACGTCAGTTTTGCGAGCTGTCATGATTTTTAGAACACCAATTTTGAGCCGTAAGGGATTTTTTATAGGTAAAAAATGCGATGTACTATTCATGAGGACGGGTTGTCTAATTTGTGTTTGTTTTGTTTTAATTGGTTAATGTTTTGAGCGTTTTCTACTGTTACAACACCGTACGTGACAACTCTGGATAACGCCTCTAGCTGGATAACACCGTTATAGCAGGATAACACAAGCCTAACACAGTCCGCCACCATTATAGCAGGATAACCCAGGCCTAACACAATCCTCTATCGTTAAAGCAGGATAACACAGTCCACCATCGTTATAGCAGGATAACAGTCCTAACACAATCCTCCACCGCTATAGCAGGATAACACAAGCCTAACACAGTTCGCCACCGTTATAGCAGGATAACAGTCCTAACACAATTCTCCACCGTTAAAGCAAGAAAACACAGTCCACCACCGTTATAGCAGGATAACAGTCCTAACACAGTCCGCCACCGTTATAGCAGGATAACACAAGCCTAACACAGTCCGCCACCGTTATAGCAGGATAACAGTCATCCTTTATCGTTAAAGCAGGATAACACAGTCCACCACCGTTATAGCAGGATAACAGTCCTAACAATCCTCCACCGTTAAAGCAGGATAACACAGTCCGCCACCGTTATAGCAGGATAACAGTCCTAACACAATCCTCCACCGTTAAAGCTGGATAACACAGTCCGCCACTGTTATATTAGGATAACAGTCCGCCTCTGTTATAGCAGGATAACACAGGCCTAACACAGTCCGCCACCGCTATAACATGATAACACAACTATAATTCCATTACTCCTAACTCTAATATCATGCACATAAGTCCGACTTCTATCCTCACTCCATTTATGCAACCATTTACGAAACCTGTACATCTTTTCTAAATCATATGTGATAATGTTCACATTAGGCTTTGTTTCATTTATAAAACAGTTGACGAACTTGGAAACTTCACACTGTTTAATAAGTGTTCACAAAGCCATCATGGTTGAAGAAAGATGTATAGGTTTCGTAAATGGTTGATGAGTCCTATGTCACTATTTTCTAGGATGGTGAAGAAGAGTGTATAGTTCAAGTTCAAGTAAGTTTACTGAGATAAGAAAAGAAAATACATCTCAAAGGGATAGAGTAGCTTAGGCTATTTCTACCCCCCCAAGAGAGTATAAGCTTATGGCAGATAGATACTTACGGTGATAATGAAGGTGACTGACATGAAGGTGAGGATAGTGTCGTCCAGGTCCGTAGTGATGGTGACATCAGCCGTGTCCGCGTTGATGGTGAAGTAATTTGTCCCAGGAACTGAACGGTGAGAGCATCATGTTATTCGCTGCTATACAGTGATCAACTTCCTATAGTATCGTTGATGTTTGTTACTATCAAGAGTGGTAACCTACACTGGCTTCCAGTATGGTGGCGTTAATACAGTCTCTAAGGTCGTGTCAGTCATATCCAGTACCAGTCTAAGCACTCAGCTAAATTACCGTGTCAGGAGTCATCTGTGTAATTGCGTTGGCAGCTTCAAGTGATACAAGGGATATATACTTTATCATACGCTGAAAGATGTACCTCGTTTCTCAGTGGATATACTCTACCCTGAGTATATTATAATTCGTTCAGTACTAAAGTATACTTGTTAGATGATCAATACTCTATAGTGGGAGTCCTAATAACCCTCCAGAGGTTGATAGTATTTAAGCCCAACACTGATCCAAACTGATTGACTCTAGTTACTTCCAGTACTGAAGGAGTAGTCATCTCTGATACTATAACATCAGTCATATCTTCTATAGTCAAAAAATAAATCTCAAATATAGTCATTTTCATTATAGCAACACTAAACTTACCTAGCATAGAAACATTTTTTTTATCTTTATTTAACATAATACAATATAAATACATAAGTTTTTTAAGGCAATACTACATTACAAAGCCTAGCAAAATTATTTGTCATATTTACAATTCAGGTATAATACATTATTTGCAATCTTTTAACTATTTCATCAAAAGATATATGCATAGGTGAACCGTACTTCTCAGTGTATATAGACTTGAGAGACTAGTTTAGTCCTGGACTATGTTCACTACTTTACTTGCTAGTAAGTAGGCAATTGTGGTGACCTTAGTAATCCTCTTGCGTTGATACACCTTAAATCCAACACTAATCCCACTATTTAATGTCCATTGAATTATTTACATTGTTCTTCATTGGAACTCTTCATAGTAATCACAGAAAAATGAAGGGATATCTTATTATTATTAAAGTTAACATAAGGTATAGGATAAGCTTACTATCGGGAGACTACTAGCATGAGGTGTAGGATAAGCTTACTATGATGAGACTACCATGAGGTGTAGGATAAGCTTACTATGATGAGACTACCATAAGGTGTAGGATAAGCTTACTAAGATGAGACTACCATAAGGTGTAGGATAAGCTTACTATGATGAGACTACCATAAGGTGAAGGATAAGCTTACTAAGATGAGACTACCATAAGGTGTAGGATAAGCTTACTAAGATGAGACTACCATAAGGTGTAGGATAAGCTTACTATGATGAGACTACCATAAGGTGTAGGATAAGCTTACTATGATGAGACTACCATAAGGTGAAGGATAAGCTTACTATGATGAGACTACCATAAGGTGAAGGATAAGCTTACTATGATGAGACTACCATAAGGTGTAGGATAAGCTTACTATGATGAGACTACCATAAGGTGTAGGATAAGCTTACTATGATGAGACTACCACAAGGTGTAGGATAAGCTTACCATCAGACCTGGCATCCCGCATGGTGTATGTGATGGGAGAGTTGATGGTTGTGTCACCGTCCTGTGCTAGAATGTCACCAGGCTCCATCTCCAAGGGCGTGACTGAGGACTAGACGCGCTTATTGCTTTATCATTTGTATTTATGTAAGTATATATATATATATATATATATATATATATATATATATATATATATATATATATATATATATATATATATATATATATATATATATATATATATATATATATATATATATATATATATATATATATATATATATATATATATATATATATATAAGCATATATGACAGTGTCAGACCACGAAGGAGGAATTGAAACATGAGTTTCAATAAGTAATTTCATATTTAATAATACATCTTCAGAAGGGTAACCTGAAGATGTATTATTAAATACGAAAGTAATTAAGGAAATTCATGTTTAAATTCTACCTTCGTGGTCTGACACTGACACATTTTTCATCACGTGTTAATTTTCGTGATTTACACACACACACACACACACACACACACACACACACACACACACACACACACACACACACACACACACACACACACACACACACACATATATATATATATATATGCAATCCACAATTGCAGCTCGAGTCTCAACAACATCAAAGGGTCGTCTTACCAACCAGGTCACGAATGCTCACAATAATCACAAGTACCCAACTGGAACCCAACTGAAATGTTAAACTAGTAAAGTACTTATAAGATCCTCCTTCTATATTGTGTACACCTATGACCTGATAGTAGGACGACAGTCTAGTATTTTTCGGTCCCGAGTTCTAATCTTCGATGAGTCAAAAGAATTAAAACACACACAGACGTATGTGTGTGTGTGTGTGAGTAAGTAAGCTCTGTCCAATTGGGAATATCTTCCACTGGCAGTACCTCTGGACAATTCTTTATATCAATTCCCGACCGTTATATAATGTCTAATATCCACTAGCAGCTTGACGTAGACTCACGGATATATATATATATATATTCCCCGAGCCTTGACTTAGTCCTGTACAATGTTCAGGACTATAGTACACCTGCTGGTGCGGTCAATGTAATCTGGCGGAGGCCTTAACATCTCTCCCGCAGTTGTAGGCACCAAGTAATCTGACCTGAGAGGAGATGACCTGGGTGTAGTAGTAGTCGTAAGTGAACTTTGGGGGCTCGTCCGGCTCATCTTCTACAGTCAGGGTGATTGTTGAGGCTGTTGATGTCCTGGGTGGGACGCCCTGATCCTGCAGTGAGAGGGAACAAGTCGCATTACTGTTACTCGGGTCACTTCTTTACATGCGATTAAGTTTGGTTGGGTTATATTATGAAGGGTTGGATTATGTTAGCTTGATTATGTTCTAAAAAAAAGGAAGTCGAAACCTGTCTCCAGTACAAAATGATCTAAATCAGTTTAATGTTCCACAGTATGGCAGGAAAGGTTGCTACTGAAGCGTAATCCCCGTTGAAGTGTCTCCAGATTATAAATTATCATGACTTTGGTTTCAAATGTGGGAATTCTCTTGTTCCGTGTGATTTTTAATTCTCTTGTTCTGTGTGATTTTTAATTCTCTTGTTCCGTGTGATTTTTAATTCTCTTGTTCTGTGTGATTTTTAATTCTCTTGTTCCGTGTGATTTTTAATTCTCTTGTTCTGTGTGATTTTTAATTCTCTTGTTCCATGTGATTTTTAATTCTCTTGTTCTGTGTGATTTTTAATTCTCTTGTTCCGTGTGATTTTTAATTCTCTTGTTCTATGTGATATTGTTCATCCCCAACACTCATATCAGTTTCCTAGTAACATCCTCAAGATCACACAGGCGGGACCAAAGAGCTAAAGCTCAACCCCCGCAAGCAAGGGAAGGCATAGTACAGTGCTACTAGTGTTGAAAGCAAATCATTCCCTCGCCTTGGTTATCCTTTGCATTTCATCAACTGTGCCTACTCGCAAGCTAAACGAAATTTCTTTCATCCTAAACCTGCTTCCAACACTAGTAGCACTGTACTATGCCTTCCCTTCATATCTGAACTCAAAACTTTTACCAATACCTTTCGTCCTCTTGACATTTAACTCGCCTTTCGACAAACTAACACACTTCGTAGCAATCTAGTTCACACTGCTCCTCCTGCTTCTAATGCTGCTGGTGTCTACTCTATTTCCTGTTCATCTTGTCCTCTCCAATACTTTGGCGAAACTGGCCGTACACTGAATGACAGACTTAAAGAACACAAGAGAAGTGTTAAGTCTGCAGACACTAACAATGCTCTCTTCTGCCATGTGAGGGATTCTAATCATCCCATTGATTGGTCTTCCTCCAAAATAATCTTTCCTGCCTCTACTCTACACAGACGCCGTCTTGTAGAATCGGCTCTGATACACAATGTACCCAACATGAACTTGAGTCCTGGCTTTGTTGCTGTGGACTCTTCCCTGTCACAGTATATACTCAAATGCTCTAATCTTTTTAACAAACGTGACCTAACATAAGCCTACCTCTTCCATTTATCTTTCTCTTTCCTTTTCTTTCTCTCTTCTCCCTTTTTCTGTTCATTGTCTTCTCCTACGCTCCCTTGCTATCCTCTTCTTATTCCTATCTCCTTCTCATTCGGTGGTTATAATAGGAGCTGCCTCGTATAGGCCAATAGGCCCTCTGCAGCTCTTATTATTATTACTATCCCCTCTACTACACCTTACTTTGCTCCTCAGCTCTCTCTTGCCTATTTATTGCCTGTCTCTACCTCCTCATCACAATCGACTTGAGAATGGTCCAGGACGGACCTAAACGTTGTCGTCCCTTCACCTTCTAGTGTGTGGTCTGGTCAACATACTTCAGCCACGTTATTGTGACTCATCGCCTGCATCTCTCCATCACACCTTTAGATTACTATTTTACCAGAATTGACATCACTTTTCCCCCTTCTCTCTTATTGAAGTAGAGAAACCCAACTAGAGTTTCGATCACACACCAGGAGGTTATTTATAACTAATAACATTTGATTGGGAAAGTATGATGACCAGACCACACACTAGAATGTGAACAATCGACTTGAGAATGGTCCAGGACGGACCGAAACGTCGTCGTCCCTTCTCCTTCTAGTGTGTGGTCTGGTCATCATACTTTAGCCACGTTATTGTGACTCATCGCCTGCATCTGATTGGGAAGTTCCGATCTTCGTAAACTAGCAGTGACGGTACAGGTAACTCACTGTAGCAGTGAGTGGACGTGTAACTCACCGTAGCAGTGACGGAGCAGGTATAGGTCTCCTGGGTCTCGAAGTCCAGCTTAGAGGTGAGGAGGAACTGGACTGGCTGAGGAGAGCCGCTGGCCCCGCCATATTGGTCCAGCGTGGCGCGGAGCGGGCACCCCTCCACAGCCACAGTGAAGAGGTTGTTTGGGCTCGAACCGTCGTCATCACGCACACTCACCTGCTCACACCCACATGTCAACACTCTCACACATATAAAAACACGCGTCAAAACATTATTACACGAATCAACAACAGAAACAGTATCTTCTGTTGGCTGAGCCAGAACACTCTTCTGTTGGCTGTTTGGTTCTGTTGACACATATTGTAACCCCAGGACACAATGTGGATTAAACCCTCCAAGATGACACATATTGTACCCCAGGACACATAATGTTGATTAAACCCTCCAAGATGACACATATTGTACCCCAGGACACATAATGTTGATTAAACCCTCCAAGATGACACATATTGTACCCCAGGACACATAATGTTGATTAAACCCTCCAAGATGACACATATTGTACCCCAGGACACATGATGTTGACTAAACCCTCCAAGATGACACATTGTACCCCCAGGACACATGATGCTGATTAAACCTTCCAGGATGACACATATTGTACCCCCCAGGACACATGATGTTGACTAAACCCTCCAGGATGACACATATTGAACCCCAGGACACATGATGTTGACTAAACCCTCCAGCAAGACACATATTGTACCCCCCAGGATACATGTTGACTAAACCCTCCAGGATGACACATATTGTACCCTCAGGACACATAATGCTGACTAAACCCTCCAGGATGACATATTGTACCCCCATGACACATGATGTTGACTAAACCCTCCAAGATGACACATATTGTACCCCCTGGACACATGATGTTGACTAAACCCTCCAGCAAGACACATATTGTACCCCCCAGGATACATGTTGACTAAACCCTCCAGGATGACACATATTGTACCCTCAGGACACATAATGCTGACTAAACCCTCCAGGATGACATATTGTACCCCCATGACACATGATGTTGACTAAACCCTCCAAGATGACACATATTGTACCCCCTGGACACATAATGCTGACTAAACCCTCCAAGATGACACATATTGTACGCCTCAGGACACATAATGCTGATTAAACCCTCCAGGATGACACATATTGTTCCCCAAGACACATGATATTGACTAAACCCTCCAAGATGACACATATTGTACCCCCAAGACTAGATCTAGATCATCAATCGTCCATTAATAACTTACAGTTAAGGTGTAAATAGGAAGATTAACAGGGTAGTCCTCGCGTAAGTTGAGGGCGTAAGTGCTCTGGTCCGTGGCAGGGGTCTCTGTGTTCTCGTCTATGATGGTGTGCGACATTTGGATCGAACACTTGGAAAATAAAGAACCATTAGCATGTTTATCTTACAGATCGCCGCATGGATAAAACAACAACTGGATAATAATTTTTTTGCAAGGTTAAAATTAGTACACCATTTATTACCACTTATAAAAACTAGTTATGTTGGATATATATATATATATATATATATATATATATATATATATATATATATATATATATATATATATATATATATATATATATATATATATATATATATATATATATATATATATATATATATATATATATATATATATATATATATATATATATATGCAACAATGATCACAAAAACATTGATTCAAGTATGCGGAAAAAACACATTTGAAAAATAGAGAATGCTTAATGCGTTTTCGGCTAATTCGCCTTCATCAGAGCAAAGTAGGATGAAGATGGAAACATTGTTGCTCAGACCTTTATACCCGCCTGGGCAGGTCACCTGACCACCAAGAAAAGGTGAAGAAAAGGAAATATAAGAAAGAAGGTAACTGCAGGAGGCTAATTGGCCCATACAGCTCCTATTAATATGCAGAACTAGAAGATATATAACAGTGCCATACAGGTTAAATGGATGCTATATTGTATTGACGTGCTATATTGAGGCTTATATGGGGATCCAACTTGTACATACCAGGGCTCACATTAAGGCTGTTGTTACAATGTTTGATCAGAGCAGACTCGATCACATTCCGTTCAACGAAATTCTTATTTATAACAATACATTTTGCCCCTCTGAAGTCGATAGAATGATAAAAATTTTAAAGTATAGGATTTCACTAAAGCAGAGCGAAAATTAGAAACAATTAAATTTCGCTCTGCTCTAGTGAAATCCTATACTTTAAAAATCCGTCTTCGTTTTCTTAGAAAATGTCTTAGTGAACAAGTGCTTCCCCGTTCCCTATCCTCCAACAGTGTGCTTAAATTAGCTGACCGACCGTTTGATGAGATTTCCCGCTTAGTGCTTGAGAAAAATATTGATTTACTTAAATTTTGTGTTTTGATAGGGTATTAGGTATGCTTAAGGGTGCTTTCTCGCCATGCCCTGTGGCTGGGGGGATTGGTGCCCCTGAAGCTACATAAACACCCAATACCCCCCCCCGAAGTGGCAAGGGGAGTTAGGGGACAAGTAGAAGTACGTGAATGTTTTAAGGTGTTGAAGAGTCGTAAGTATTCATTTTTTCAAGCTGTACCTTTGGAATCATCAACCATACCGATGATGATCATCATCAACCGCCCGATGATGGATTACTGTTACACCGCTCTGAGATCTGCCTGCAGGGATGTAAGTTCAAAGCTTGATTCAAAACTAAATAAGCTTATTCAACAAAGTGATTGAAACAAATACGCCAACAATGACTTCGTTATTAATCTCTAGTAAACAACTGGATAACGATACGATGACTGCTCTTGGTTAAGGTCTGAGTTTCTCCATATCAAATAGGGATGTGAATTATGTAGATATTGCCAAACGTTTTTGCAATTTGGAGAAATATAGTGAGATTTCAGCTGATGACATCAATATTTGCAAGGGAATGGTGTACGGGTCTTAACTTAAAGGTACTGTGCCTAATTGTCAAGATAGATTTATTTGGGCTTTCAAAACCTTCAAAAAAGACAACTCTCTACATATGACTAAGGCTGATAAGTCCAATGCTGTTGTCATCATGGATAAGGATGACTATATCCAAAAAATGAATCAGTTATTGGATGACAGAGACACTTACCTATTAATAGTGACCCTATTGAAAAAGTTATTGTTCATTTTAATAAAACTCTTAAAACCTTGACATGCACGCGAGCTATGTCAATAGGCCGTTCTACCTCTTCGGCCTTACTTTATTACACACAGAAACCGCAATAGAAATCACAATAAGGGCGAAGAGGTAGAACAGCCTATTGACATAGCTTGTGTGCATGGGGGGAATTGTGTAAAATCCTGGTTTGTGTCTCGGAGAGGCTGCAGGATTCAGTAGAACTTCTGGTTGCAATTCTTTTGACTATGTCGTAGCTCAGTCGATTAAGGCAGCGTTTGGGATACTCTCGGATGTAGGTTCGAATCCTCGTCACGGCTCTTGTGGATTTGTTCAGCCGTCAAAATGTTGGTAAACGCACTATGTGCAATCAAACCCACATTTCAAGGCTTAATAGTAGGTGTTGGTTATCATAGTGGGAGCTAATCCTATTTAAAGTGAGGCATGGTGGGTCGACCCAACCAAATCTGACACTTGTCATGCAGTCTCAAATCACTGGGCAAAGTTGAGGGCGGCTAGCTCCAAGCGTCTGGCCTTGGGACTTGACGCATTCATAGACGCACTCACAACATTCACAGACGCACTCACAACATTCACAGACCCATTCACAACATGCACAGACGCATTCACAACATTCACAGACGCACATACAACATTCACAGACGCACATACAACATTCACAGACGCATTTACAACATGCACAGACGCATTCACAACATTCACAGACGCACATACAACATTCACAGACGCATTCACAACATTCACAGACGCATTTACAACAGACACAGACGCATTCACAACAGACACATTCTCTCGTATTGATATTGAGTGTTAAGTTCACCTTTACTGAATATAAACAATATACATTATTATATATATTTGTATTGTAAACACAGGATATTCAGCTTACCGTGTCGCCGTTAGAGAACTGGCTGAAAGTCACAATGCCCTCTATCAAGATCTGAAATAGATTTGACATTAAGCGACGTTGGCTGTACACAAGTCAGAGTAAATTATCACGACGAGAAGCTGTACGATAGGCAAACCTTTCAAAATGTGTGAGATTTAATTTTCTTAGCTTTAAACAAAATCGACTTCTGATTTTTATATCTAAGTTGTAAGTGCTGGAATATCTTGTCAACTACTCACTATATTGTTGGGGTAGTCGGGGACTCCATGTAAAGATGTCTTGACTGTGGTCGTCAGAGATGATGGTCCTGAACTATCAACTGTAAAATATTGATTGAACTCTGTGTTAACAGGATCTTCATAAGTGATAGTTTCGTCCCAACTCAAGGTGTAGAGTTCAGTGTTCACTCCTGCCTCCTCGTCCACATTCATCGATAATATGAGGTTTGTACCCATACCATTGAGTGTTGCTTCGGAAGAAATGACAAAGTGATCTATACACGCACCTGAAAGTATAATTTTAACCATTAATATCAACAAAATATTAATCAACAATAATAGAGAAATGTTAATTATTTGATACGTGGAAACAACTTAAAATAGCCACAGTGTAGAGAATAATAACGGGGGGGGGGTAATTTATATTACAATAACGGGGCTCCAACAACTCAACACACAAGAAAGGAAACTGACGACCTGGACACCTTATCACGAGAAATATACACAGTATGTGGTTGATCAACTGTGCTATCTACATGCTGGCGATGAGTCACAATAACGTGGCTAAAGTACAATCGACTTGAAAATGCTCCAGGACGGACCGAAACGTCGTCGTCCCTTCACCTTCTAGTGTGTGGTCTGGTCAACATATCTTCAGCCACGTTATTGTGACACATCGTCTGCAAATGGGCCTCGAAGCCTGATACCGAAATGCAGAGTGCATAACGACCAAGGCAGAGGAACTGCAACATAAAATAGTGATAATAAAACCAGACATAGTAGTTATAGTGGAACTAAAGCTGACTAGAATGGCAACAAACACCATATTCCATAATGAATATCAGATGTAAAGAAGAGAATATGAGAAGATTGTAGGGGGGGGGGGAGGTGTGTTATGAACAAGATCAACTCATCATAACATTAATTGTTCATGTCTTCTGATGCAAGCTTAGGTCAAGTCTAGAGATTAACTTTATATTATATTGCCTAGCTTTAAGATGTTATCACACTCACCTCCATGATTATTGTCTCTAATTGTAACTAAGTTATGCCTTAATTGCATAATTGTGAATAGTGCTTGTTAGGAACAATGTAATTATTTAAATATGTAGTCTACACTAATCAAGAAGAGTCAGAAATATAATTTGTTAAGGAAAGCTGTTGGAAGCCAAGATGGTAATATTCAGAAGCAGGTCGTGCAGTAAACAGTTTTAAGTTGTGTGATGATTGTGAGCTACAGGGAAATCTTACAGTCCTCTACGGGCTCACCATAGCCCGTGCTACTTTGAACTTTTTGTTCCAGGTCGCGAATCTACAACAACAACAACAACAACAGAGAAGTCAGGGTGCAGGCTGACGGCTCATATTGTCTATTAAGTAACCTTTGACTTCTTAAGAGTTAGGAGGTGCTTAAGATATCGGGCAGTAACACTCAGGTGTAGTGAATCATGTGCAGGCGATGAGTCACAATAACGCGGCTAAAGTAAGTTGACCAGACCACACACTAGAAGGTGAAGGGACGACGACGTTTCGGTCCGTCCTGGACCATTCTCAAGTCGATTGTGATAGACACAATCGACTTGAGGATGGTCCAGGACGGACCGAAACGTCGTCGTCCCTTCACCTTCTAGTGTGTGATCTGGTCAACTTAGTGAATCATATTGTGTTAACGAAACGGGTCTAGACTCGAGTGTGGGGTCTTTGGTAGTTTAATTTAGGTGACTTAATAACTTTGGCCTCAAATCTTTGACCACCCTCAAATCTTAGGGCGGCTGGTTGTAAATAACTATTTTACTATGATTATTTATACATGTATTATATTGTTTTACTATATCAAAGAACTCTGCCAGTAATATATTACAGAACCATAAAGCTGTAATATCCATGTTGCAAAACCACAATGGATGTAATATTTATTGCTGGACCCTGAAAAATGCAATATCTTTAACACAGATCTATGAGGCTTGCACTATCCATGTCACAGGACCATAAGACCTACAATATCCATGTTACAGGATCATGACGCTAACACTATCTATGTAACAGTACCACGATATTGCAGAAGCCTGCAATATCTATGTTACAGGACTATAACGATTGCAATATTACGTTACGTGACCATGAAACCTGCAAAATCTATGTAACAGGACAATGAAAAATTCAATATGTAGATTACAGAACTATAAAGACTGCACAATCCATGTTACAGGACCGTGAAACCTACACTATCCTTGTTACAGGACTATGGTCTGCAATATCCAAGTTATAGGACCATGAAGCCTCCACTCTCCCTGTTACAGGACTACGAAGTCTGCAATATCCATGTCACAGGACTGTAAAGACTGCAATATTCATATTACAGGACCATGGAATCTGCAATTCCTTGACACAGGACAGTGAAGACTGCAATATATGTGTTACAGAAACATGAAGCCTGCAATATCCAAGTTACATGATCGTGAAGCCTGCAATGAGCATGTCACAGGAACATGAAACCTGCAGTATCAATATTATTGAACCATTAGACTTGCACTATCTATTACAGGATCCAAAAACCTTCAATATATGTTATTGAACCATGAAGCCTGTAATATTCAGGTTACAGGACCACGAAGCTTTCAATTTCGTTTGAAAATAAAAATTGCTGGAGTTCTCTAGTAATGTAAGTTGCTATTTTATATCTTTTAAAAAATTTATACATTTCTTGGTGTCGGACTTGAGGCCTTATCAACCTCTAGAAGGTTAATAAGGCCAGCATAAATGTTTACTAACTACCCTGCAAGTATAACTAAACTCTGAACATAGTTCAGTACTAAATATATATACACACACACACCGAGAAGCTAACCGACTAGCAAGTATACGTTAATTAAATGTAGCCCAGACCTAAGTATATACTTAAATGTATACACACTGAGAAAGCTAGTTACACTAAATATGACATATATAAAATTTCTCTCTTTTTTAATACATTTTTCCTTGCTGCAAACTTCAAGGGTACACTCGTGAGAGCTTGAAGGTCGATTTACGTGTTTTCCTTTGTTAAACATTAACAAACAGCTGTACAGACTTCGATTATTAGATGTAATTACAGCACCATGGTAAAATATGGCAAGTGTGGATATACAGCACATATTAATGTTTACACCTGATGGAAAGATTATGGTCACAGCCTGGTTATATAAAAGTTTAAAAAGGCAAAATATATTGCTCTAACCCGACATCATTTCTTCAAAGATTCTTACAGAAGTGTAAGAAGTATGTTGCTTGAATGGCGCTGAATCCCACTTTATACGGATAACTTAGTCATCCTACGCTGGACACGTTCAAGTGAATTTATATCCATTCTATAATATGGCGACCAAAACTGAACTGCATAATCTAAATGGGGCCTAACTAGAGCAAGATATAGCTTGAGAACCACACCAGGTGTCTTGTTACTAACGCTGCGATTAATAAATCCAAGTGTCCGATTTGCCTTATTACGAACATTTATGCATTGATCCTTTTGTTTTAAATTCTTACTAATCATAACTCCCAGATCCCTTTCGCAATCCGACTTCGCAATCACAACACCATCTAGCTCGTATCTTGTAACTCTATCATCATTACCTAACCTCAGAACTTTACATTTATCAGCATTAAACTGCATCTGCCAATCCTTTGACCATTTCAAAACCCTATCTAGATCAACTTGAAGTGATAGTGAGTCCTCCTCCGAATTAATTTCCCTACCGATTTTCGTATCATCGGCAAATTTGCAAATGTTGCTACTCAAACCTGAATCTAAATCATTTATATATATTATAAACAACAGAGGTCCCAGGACAGAGCCTTGAGGCACTCCACTTACAACATTTTCCCACTCTGACTTGATTCCATTTATACTAACTCTCTGTTTCCTTTGGTATAGCCATGCCCTAATCCAGCTTAATATAGCACCCCCAATACCATGAGACTCTATTTTTTTAATCAGTCTTTCATGTGGCACTGTATCAAAAGCTTTGCTAAAGTCAAGGTATACAACATCGCAATCCTTACCACTATCAACTGCCTCAACAATGCTAGAATAAAAAGATAACAAATTTGTTAAACATGAACGGCCATTTATAAAACCATGTTGCGACTCAATTATTAATTTATGTTTTTTTAAGATGAAGACGAATTTTATTTGCTATTATAGATTCGAGTAACTTTCCCACAATAGACGTTAGGCTAATTGGTCGGTAGTTAGACGCAAGTGATCTATCTCCTTTCTTAAAAACTGGTAACACATTAGCAACTTTCCAAAACTCTGGCACTCTGCCTGACTCTATTGATTTATTAAATATGGTTGACAGTGGGTCACAAAGCTCCTCTTTGCATTCTTTAAGCACCCTAGCAAACACTTCATCCGGCCCTGGGGATTTGTTTGGTTTGAGTTTTACTATTTGTTTAAGAACATCCTCCCTGGTAACTGCTAAACTCGTCAACCTGTCCTCGTCCCCACCCACATAGACTTGTTCGGCTGAAGGCATATTGTTAAGTTCCTCTTTAGTAAATACAGATACAAAATATTTATTAAAAATACTACTCATCTCTTCATCACTATCTGTTATTTGACCTGTCTCAGTTTTTAATGGACCTATCCTTTCCCTAGTCTTAGTACGATATAACTGAAAAAACCCTTTAGGATTTGTCTTTGCTTGCCCTGCTATGCGAACTTCATAGTTTCTTTTTGCTTTCCTTATCTCTTTTTTAACATTTCTAACCAGTTGTACGAATTCCTGTTCTAAAGTGACCTCCCCATTTTTAATCCTTTGTACCAAGCTCTCTTTTTACCTATAAGGTTCTTCAAATTCTTTGTTATCCACTTTGGGTCATTAGTATACGATCTATTCAATTTGTATGGTATACTACGTTCCTGTGCTTTGTTTAGAATATTCTTAAATAAGTTATATATTGAATCCACATCGAAATCCCCATTTAAGTCACCTATCGCTGGGTTCATGTCTCGCTCCAAGACCGGCCCACACCCCATACCCAAGCCTTTCCAATCAATTTGACCCAAAAAATGAAAATGGATTACGCGCCAGGATGAAGCTGCGTTATACATTGAGATGAAGCAAGGTTATGCATCAGGAAAACACTGGATTATACACCAGAAAGCAGCTAGGTTATACACCAGGTTGAAGCTAGGTTTTCTACCAGTAGCGTCTACTTAAGCCACCATAGTTATGTAACGCCATTTATTTTATACATAAGTTCCAGAGTAGAAAGAAGTAGGGAAAGTTACATTCAAAATCAATTGGGGGAAAAAAATAGAGTTCAACTCATCTAAGCCTAAAGAAGATTATATGTCTCTCAGATGGGCAAGCTTTTAAGCTAATGAAAATCAGTAAGTAAATATATGTTAGAGGAATGATTAAATAATTTTTCAAACGAGTAATCTAAAGAAATCTTTAACACTAGAAATGGCAGTTTCCTGTGGAGGAAAGTATTTACGAAAGTGGTATTGTACTTTCAATGAAAAGAATTATCCAAAGTCGTGTGGTATTTTCGTAAATGCTGTGGTACTTTTCTTGAGGAGGGAAGTATTTTCCGAAGTGGCATAGTACTTTCTTAAAGAGGAAAGTGTTTCCCTAAGTGACATGGTACTTTCTTGAAGAAGAAAACATGTTCTCAAAGGGACATGACAATTTCCTGAAATGATATTTCACCAGTATTTGCTGTCACTGCTGACTTATGAATCTGGTGAAATTTGGAGAATAAATTTAAGCATGATAAATATTAAATATAGCTGATTAGGTTAAATTAAGCTAGTTAGAATAGGCTAAGCTAGGCTACGTTATGTTAGTCTGGACTAAGTTTGGTCAGGCTAGACAAGGTGAGATTAGGTTAGGTTGAGCTAAGCTAGGTTAGGATACTTAGGCTTGGTTGAATTAGGCTAAATCAAGAGAAAATGAAGGCCACACTGCATGAATGTAATGTCATCTCCATCTCCAAGAGACTTTTTCAGCAAGAATGACAATATAGAAATAAAAGCTGTTTTTTCTTTTGCATTGCTCTTGAAATATATTCAAGTTTATTAAATTTTCACATATTCTTTAGAACCATACACGCCACTGGTTGAAAGACAAGTGGAGTGTATGATTAAGCGATCGAGAGTGCAACATTTTGTTCTAAAAAATCAGATGAAACTGAAACAATGCCGTTTGGAATGTGAAGTGCAGGTTTTCCGTTCTATTATGTGTCCACGAGTTAGTCTGGTGATGGTTCATACGTGCCCTCCTAACCTACCAGAGGACCCAAAACTTGCTGTTTTGGGTACATTTCATTTGGAAAATGAATTTCCATTTTCTAGTATAGAAAATGGCCGTAACGCATGCGAGCGAAAAGCGACGTTATTTGCAAAAGGACGTTATTTGTGCGATACCTAGCCAAGGACGCCTCCCACTCCCTAACTCAGTGATCAGGAGATATGGTGAGAAGCAGGATTTGATAGCACGTAATTGGTTCCTTGCTGTAGGTAACACACACTTCTCTATGACCGTTCCTACTGCAGGATGAATGATAGGCTACAACTCAATGTTTAAGATCAGGTTAACATTGGAGGAATTGCTCAATTTGTTGAATTTAATCCATGCTAATTAACTTTCATAATAAATTTGACATAAAATTAGTTTATAGTATATTGGATTTATGTTACATTTATTATGTTTTAACATTGATATGTGTTATAATAAAACAAATTGATTCGTCAATTTGTCAAATTTTTCAACCTTTCACCAGGGAGGAATTTGGCTGCAGGTGTTCAACATGAATCTCATGAAAATGGCCCAAAATATAACAAGAATTTTATCTTATCTGTTTCTGAGCTGATAACAAGAATATACATAATTTAAAAAAATATATATATAATATAATTTTGTAATATATATACAGGGAGGAATAATTTCAGTACAGTTTCATGCAAAATAATTGTTCTTCGAAAAAGTAATGATAACACCCAGTCAGATATTTAATGAAGGTAACATTGTTAGTGATATTGTGTGATAAGGATACAACGCGCTCGGCCGCTTATCTTGTGCCTACGTCGTCTCCTCTCTCCTACCACCCTACACTAACACCTTCTAAACAACTGATCACAGACATTAACGGTAAATCACAGTGATGTTTTACACATTGTGTGCACCAAGTTTCGGGTACGAACTTACGCATTAGAGCTATAACTCTGGGTTGAGGTCTTTAACTTACTCTTTACTGACGAAGGGAAGATGGCGAGAAGAATCAAGATGGCTGCGGCTCTTAGTGTTGTGGAAGAGGGGCTTCGTCCCCCACCTCCGGGTGACGCCATGACGCTAGACGTCAAGGTGTGCCTCACTTTGGTCTTCATAGATGAGTTTGGCCTTCTCTAGAGAACCTAAGCTAAGGCGAAGAGCCTATGATCGCACACCCACAGCCAGTTCTAACTGCCGTTTCCTGATTGCTGCTCGGCAAAATTAGTCGCGGTTTTTGTCTTTGCACTCAAGGATTTTTGTTCTGGTATCGGTTGTGTTTCTATCACTACGAGGGAGGTTCTTCCCTGTAAGGTTGACCAGCTCCTGCATGCCCTCCAGGGAAACACTGCAGTAGCACTAGCCTCGCCTACTAAGGCCCAGATAATGACTCCCACTCAGAGCCGATAAGACCGTCCATCAACGAAGTTATTTGTACGATAACGCCCGTAAGATAAGAGTGATATAATCCTGCTGGTTGCGACACCTGTCTGTATTAGAATGGGTGTTGTAATTTATTGATATATGGCGATCATTCGCAAACATATGTACAAAATATTTCCTCATTTCGAACACAAACCGCATTGATTTGAGTTGGAGAGAATGTCAGCACGCAATGCAGATGATTCAGAGATACCTCAGAGATAAGGAGTTAAAGCTACGATAACAAGGCAATGAGATTCCTCCAATAACATGCACATCCGCCTAAATAACAGTAAAAATAGAATGCCCCATAATGTACCCAGGCTACGACGCAAGACGTACACGGCTAAGCAGACAAATGACATCCGAAAATATACCACAGAACACATGCAGAAAATATTGACGGAAGATCGCAAATCACCAACACTCGATAATAGATTGAAGTACACATCCACACCACATACCTCCATAACCCGAGTAAAGACCAAAGTACACATACCCACACCACAAACCATCAAACATCCTGTGGGCAGTAATAGACCCCATACCTATCCATTGAGCGATAGTGGACCCCATACCCATATACTTATTTATTAAATGGCAGTGGACCCCATACCCATCCTGTGGGCGATAGTGAACCCCATACCCATCCTGTAGGCGATAGTGAAGCCCATACCCATCCTGTGGGCGATAGTGAAGCCCATACCCATCCTGTGGGCGATAGTGAACCCCATATCCATCAATTGAGTGGTAGTAGACCCTATACTCATCTTTTGGATGATATTGAACCCCCCATTCCCATCCTGTCAGCGTTGGTGGACCAGTCCTGTGAGTGGTAGTCGAAATGGGCTCAAGAACTGGATCCCCAAAATTAGTTCAACGAAGCAAATTACAGTGTTGATGAGGAAGTTGCCGGGTTGATATATACAATAGCCTATTCAATGGCCTATCAAACTAACATCACCGTGACCCCCTAGAGGGTCAAACGTTACGAGTGAAAGTTTGTTAGTTTAGTGTACTCCAAACCCATCCTGTGGGTAAGCATCAGAAAAATTTCAGTGCAACATAAAGAGTTCAGGAAGTGAACCCCAAAGATCTTCTAGCTAAGGAACTTATATTTGTGGTGAGCTAGTTGCATATCATTCTAGTTTGCCTACCATGCACCCGACAATCACGTGCATGCACTACTTCCGGCAATAATAGAGTTATCTCTAAATTGTTAAAAGTTCTATATACTTAGGCACATAATGATGCATGGTGCACGAATTGTTTGTTGACCAGTTGACATTTGGTCAGGTGTTCGCCGGTTGGTAATACAGACGTCCAGAGATATTACTAACTGACCCTAAGCCGAATAGTAGTAATCTAGGTGTCTGCTGATTATATTTCATGTTCCATAGTTATGGAGCTTTTCCTGCAAGGTAGGTTGATGGCAGATGGAATAGTTAGTGTAGATTTCAGTGTCTCCTCTGAAAGCATATTTTTTGGCTAACTCATAAGTTCTATCATGTATTCGGAGGCCAATATGAGATGGAATCCACATAAAACGGACTCTGTTACTTGTTAATTACTTACCTGACTGTTAATTAATACCTTTGTTGTATCGGTGTCTAACTTTAGACACAAGCATGTTCCAATTGTGTCTTCAAAGTTCTGTATTAAAAACAATTAATCAATTACAGTTGATTTGTCTGGCTTAGAGATATGTACACATCACTACGAGGAGTGTGGCAAATAGTTGTGGTGAAGGATTGTCTATGGTGATTGTTGGTGATTGTTGCGTTGTCTATCCGGACTCCTCACTCCTTCTGGGATGGAGGTCCTCTCCATCTAGTGGGCCTCTTACTGGCCCACTAGATGTTAATCATTTCTGCATTTTGCGCTGCAAAATCTCAGTGGTGATCTTACTTGGTTGTAACTTTGCACTGTGTTAGATGATGTTCCAGTGGTCTGTCGGGCAGTTCTCCATAATGTTGATATTTCCTCTCCTTTTGTTCCCTTTCATGAAAATAGATGATGATCTTTCACAGTTGTTGAATTCTTGCTACATTATGGTTATTGTACTGTACTAGATTCTGTGGTATGTAAATGTCTTCATTTCTCTTCTTAGTTGCACTTTTGTAGCGATATTTGCAATGTCTTTCCCTGGTATTCCAAAGTGACTTGGCACCCAATTGATAACAGGTCGACGACTTTAGCAGTTAAGTGTTTGCCTTGATGTTATAAAATTTGTGGTCAAATGTATGTTGTCACATAAGTATGCTTGTTGCAAGGTTTTAGTGGTAGTTCTCGAATCTGTATGTACAATAATATGTTGTCAATGATTAGGAAGAGCATGTTCCAAAGCCTTTAGAATTGCTAGCATCTTCGTATGTAAAGTTAAACACCTATTTGAGAGTTTCCAACTAACCATAGACGTTCCTGCCTTAACTACAGCTGCAGATTGTTGTCTCGCCTTGTCTTCTAACTCGTATGTGAGTTTCACAAACGATCTGATCATAATTGTGCTCGAATTTACTTATGTTTCTTCGTGCTAGGCAGGTTTTCACAGACTCGGTTAAATAGTCATAAGTATAACATTCAGGTTTTTTTTAAAGATCTTGTTCTGTACTACTGAAACACTTGTTCACTAAGAATTGTAATGTATAATTGCCTTGTAAAACTTATGTATCTGTAATTTATATTGTATTTTCTTAAATAAAGATAAAAAAAAATAGTCATCAGATAGGATATTCATACACAAATTAATATCCTTTATTTGCTAAAGATTAAGATATTCAGTCAATAAAATAAACAATTTTATTCATAAATGCTTTTAGATTTAATACCGACTCAGTTTACACCAAAAAAGTTCATTTTTAATTTGAACAAGAAAAAGTTATAAACATATCATAACATGTAATAATTGTAAGTATGTACTGTACTGTATAATACTATGGCAAGAAAATACCATGGCATACTACGTATGGAAAAGGGCAAGGACATTTTCGAAATGATGCTCAATACATGAATAATACAGTTCAGACGACAGTAATTTTTACACTTGTGTCTACATACACGGGAACATTATAGAAGTCAGGAAACAACATATAGTATTCTTATATACATATAGGAGTTCTCTGAGGCTGTGGGTCCCTATAATTGCACCAGAGGTGGTACCCCCCCCCCCTATAGGAGTTCTTATATATCGAAATATAGATACTTCTGCATCCATATTTTAGAACAAATTTGAAACTTAGACTAAATATATATAATATGAATTTTTATAAATTGGTAATACCTATGTGGCAATTAAGTTTCCATGAAGAGATTATAGTTTCTTATGTTCATAAGGAGTCATAGGAAATCAGCAAGGCGTGTGTTAGTGGGCCAGCCAGAGGCTTAGGACCCGCGCAGGAATATCACTGAAAAAAAGCAAGTAGTGTCTGAACCCAAGGAGTATCAGATGCAGTTTAATGCTAACACCTGTAGAAATCTATGCCTAAGTTATGGTAATAGTTACCAAATTTCTGGGGGAAAATGTTGAAATTGTCAGAGCTGAATGTGAAAAAGATGTAAGTCATGATTAGCAGGCATCTTTTAATCAATGAATTAATGTTACAAAAAAGACGAAAAGGTTACGGCAATATATATTGAGAATTGTTTGTATCAATATTCAGCTTCATCTTGCCCTTGTTAGGCTCCATTTAGATCTTGGAACACAGTTTTTGTCTCCGTACTCTAAACTGGATATTAGTTCACATGGATATGTGATAGGCTGTGGTGTTAGTTCACAGGCTGATATGTGTTCCTTGAAGGTATAGTGAAGGATCCCATAAATTAGGAACCTCCCTTATAATGAGACATTACGAAACTATATCTACATTCTTCAGAAAGGCAAAGGAATAAGAAGCCAGGACTTAACTATGACATTGCATGAAAAGGTATACCAGAGGATGCTGATAACATGCTAAATATTTCAGCATAACAAAAAAGTACACGAAACAATGGATTCATCTTAGATAAGTTTACATTCAGTGTAGACCTGAGTAAATATTTGATTAGAAGTAGTAGTTGAAGTGTGGAGTAGATTACCGGGTAACATAACAGCTGTGGGATTGTTTCAAGTGTAGATTAGACATATATATCGGTGAGTTTACTAGGCTATAAATTAGCGCTGCTCGCTTGGGCCAATTCAGTTTCCTCTATTGCAAATACTTTTCTCTGATGCCGGATTTTTCCACACTTCAACCCTGTGTACCAAATATCATTATTATCAAACAACGAGGGTTTAAAACCATGCTCAGTCTCATTCAACTTTCATAATATCACCACAGGAACTTTACCTTGAGGAAAAGCAGACATCAGGTGCAATATCCGACTGAATTTCAACATTTCAGGCAATAGGAGCCTCCACATCATCAACCTTCACCATAGACTCACTACCATACAAACTCTGAAACAAAGTCACGTAAGGAAGAATTAATCCGACCGGAATCCACTGAAGGAGTGTGTGTGAACCACAAATAAATACAAGAAAGTACATTCATGAAGCTTGACTTTCGCAGCCAGGCAACGCCGTACAGAATCCCGCTAGACGGGATCGGAAACTGACCAGAGGAAAGGTAAAGTGGAATATGGAAGTATGGGAATAGGGGAACAAATTTGTTGTATAGGTAGGGATGAGGCGGGGAAAAAAAAGTGCCCCAACCACTTTTGAAGAGCAAGGTTGACGCGGTGTCGTGTTTTGTGTTGCGGTAATGTGCTCTGTGTCGTGTTTTGTGTTGCGGTAATGCGCTGTGTTATGTTTTGTGTCGTGGTGTTGCTTATGTGCATACAGTGTGGTGGAGTTACCTCGTGCCCCTGACCATACCGCTGGTGTGGGTTTACTTACTGCGGGGATCAGTCCCAGGTCTTCAGAATAACTTTATTCACACTCCATACTCACGAGGTCTGGTTTTTCTTGATGGTTGCCGTCGATATTGGATTGGAATAAGCAG